TTTCCCTCGCTCTGTGCATTGCTGCGGTGCTGCCTGGCACCCCACGGCACTGGGTGTCATTATTTTTACTACGTGCTATGTTTACCATGCATTATTTTTTACAGCCCAGCCCCAAGGAAGCCGAGGGTATGAGCTGTGGGTTGCCAAGGGGCTCTGCAATGACCCGTGGCTGGTGTGTAGGGTGGCAACAAGGACTCCCAGTAGCTCCCAGTGGAGCCGGACACATGGTGTACCTCTGCCTCCACCCGTGAAGAATGGCTTCTTTACCAAGAGGCCTACGGAGACTCGGCAAAGCTCTGCCAAGCTGGGGGTGCTGGGGGCACCCGTCTGATCCCCGGGTGCATTTTCACCCTGTTTCTGTGCCAGGAGCATATGCCTCGTGTGTTCCCAGGAGGTGATAGTGGGACTCTGCCAGGTGCCAGCCCTAGGAGCACGGTGCTGTCCCCTCGCAGGCACACAAAGTGCCTGTTGCTGAAACAGCTTGTGCTGTGTAATGCAGGAACTACACCTCATTGAGAGGCAAATCCAGAGCTCGGCAGCCTGGGAGCGTGAAAAAGCCGCTGTCACCTGAGGCCTCACAGAAGAGAGGAGCCAGTTAGCGCCACTAATGAAGTGGAGAATTCAGCCGTAAACAAGAGAGAGCTTTGCCGGGAGGGAAGGGGCCTGAATGAAAGAGGCGCTTGGATGCAGCGGGCCTCGACATGGCAAGTGGCAGCAAAGCTCTGAACCGGTCCTGGTGCAGAGGGGACCTGGTGTCCTGAAACCTGCAGGATGCGCAGGTCCAACTGGGAGCCACAGAAGCGTGACATGCTGACCACTGCCCCGCGTTACAGTGCTGCCCGGCTGGGCTGGGCTCCCAAGGGAAGGAAGCACAGAGCCAGTGAAGTGCTCTCAGGCTTCGTCCAGGAGCTAGCTTGAACGCACTTCCCCTCCCAAACCTGCGATGGGTGTCTGGTGGGACCCTGCTCTACTGGGAGCTCTCTGGGAAGCTCTAATGGGTACTCCAAGTGCACGTCCTTGCAAAGCAATCCCAGAGCCTGCCTGGGCCAGCATGTCCTTGCACTTGCACCCTCGGGTGCGAGCACCTGCCCTTGCAGGCACCCAGGAGGGCTGTTCCAGGCCCACTGGCTCCTTGCCGGTCTCTGGCTGACTTGGAGAGCCTGTCCTATGGATGGGGGCAGATGGGAATAATGGAAAGCCCACAGATCAGTGAGAGAAGGGCAGCCCAGGGGGATCTGTGCCTCTGCTGTGATGTATCATGTAACCAGCAGTCATTCCTGTTTCCTGTGGTCCTGCCACTCTGTGGCCACCCGGGGTTTCAGGGGGAAGGTGAGTATGTGCTTGCCTGGGCGCACGGGACTGGCAGGAACTTCCCTGATGTAGCTGGGCGAGGTGGACCTTGATTGCTACCCACGCACAGCTCCCCCAGCTTGATGCTGCCAGCTGCCAGGTGGACTTTTTTTAGCTAACTAGAGTTGGGCTGGGAGTGCAGGCAGCTCATGTCCCTGAGGGCAAGGGCAGTCTCGAATGGCTCGGCACATCAGCGTACTTGGTCTCCACATGGGTGTCAGCACTGCCCTCCCCGACAGGCTTAGAGTGGCCAGAGCCCATCCCTGAAGCCAGCAATCCTTCTGCCCCGTTCAGTCCAGACCTCTCAGTTGCCTCATGTGCAACATAGGGCCCCAGAAACCACAGCTTCCCAAGTACGGCTCTGCCCAGAATGACGCCCGAGTTAGGTATTAACTCCTCCAGCCATTTTGATCCATACCTGTGTAACCAAGGGCCGCCTGAGATACGGCAGATCAATAATGTCATGGGTTAGCCCTCTTTGAGTGCCCTTTCTCGCTGACTTCCTGCAGGAGGTCTGGGGGCCCAACTTCATCCCTATGATAAGGTCTGGGGGCCCGAGGGATGTGGCCGTGTGTTGGGCGGGGGGGAAGAGTTCTCTTGCCGTGGGACCGGACTTGGTGCAAAGCCTGGCTCAGAAACCCAGCTCCACAGCTGGGCACTACAGATGCGGCATTGGCTGGGCAGCAGTGTGGGTTGCTGGAATTTGAGACATCTGCTGTTTATTAATAAAGTCAACGAGCCTGCAGGTGTGAGAGGTCCGTAACGCAGCCGCAAGGTCCAAGGCTGCCCCTGCTGACAGCCTGTGCCTTGCAAGAGGCTCTTTGTGGGCACAGGTGCCCCCAAGCACGAGGGCCCTGTGCTTGGGCAAAGGCCAGCCCCCTCCGCTGCGTGGCCTGCACTGCCAGCTCCCCAGCACCGACACTGGGCACCTCTGCTCAGACAGGAGACCTGACACCTACATCTGCCTGGCAGTGTGGGCCTGGCCCAGGGCACATGAAGGCAAATGCTAGAGGGGATGTGGCTGAGCCCTGGCCCTTCCCCCTCGCCCATGGATTCAGCAGGGCTGCTCCTTGGAGGGTGCCTGGGAAGAGGCCATCTGCAGTCCGGCAGGGAATATTTGCTTTAGATTAGCTCCCTTGCCCCAAGCTGAGAGTGGACAGACAGCGTGGGACTGCTGGGCAGGATGTTAGCTTTGCTCTGTTTGCTTTTCTGCTTTTCCTCAGCAGATAGCGCCAGGGTTAACCGATGCTGATACAATCAGGGATGTTGGGGTGGCTACCTGGAACTGCCGCGCAGGGCTCAGCTCTGGGCACGAGCAGGGCTCAGCACCGCAGGGGGATCTGTCTGTCCCCGGGGCTAACCCAAGGTCCCAGCACACGGGATGCAGCCGGAGGCTCCTGCCAGGATGAAATAAAGCAGGCTACCGACGCAGCATCAATAACAGGCTGACTCGCTGAGGCATCAGCAGCCACAGCTTTAGGCTCAGTGAATTCTGCCCCTCATCCCAGAAGGGAACCCACGGCAAATATTTACAGGGGCTTATAAATATTTATCCTGTAATAACTTGCTGCCTTGCAGCACATTCTTCTCCAGGAGACTAAGCCATGCCCTGGGCCAGGTGGGGGCTGCTGCGCGGCCGCAGGATGAATGAATAACCCACAGCAAGCGCCGCCGCGCAATAAAACCGCTGGCCGCACAGGTGCCCGCGTGGAAGGTGCCGCAGGCTCTTACCCAACAAAAGAAAAATGTGGCTCAGCAGCACAGGTGTGTGAGAGCCTGGTGCGGGGCAGACTTCGCCTCTGTCTCCACAGCAACAGCAGAGAGGTGTTGTGAGTCTCCGGAGAGCCGCAAATCACACCACCGGCCTAACGGGACAGGGCCCCAACCTGCCTGCCACGTTTAGCAGCGCAGCCCTCCCTGTAATGTGCCACGCACAGGCACGTCATTGGGTTGGACGGCAGAAGCCGACTGCCACGAACGCTCCAGACCACAAGGCAATGTGCTGCGGCACGTCTCCGTCTCTGCCGGGTGCTTGTGCCTGTGCACAGGAGTCCAGCTGAAACCCTGGACATGGCTCCATCTTACTCTGGTAACCAAAATGTGCCGAACGTGCAGGAGCTGCAGCAGGCTCTTGGGTCACGGGCACTTGCACCACACAAGGCACGGGCCACGTCAATCACCCAGCTGACCTGTCTTCTCTGCACCCCAGGGCAGAGAAGAAGCTTGACATGGGCACCCAGGGACCAGGGTGCAGAGGGAGGTGGCTGAGCCGGGCTGCTGAGGGACCAGGGCAGCGTGGCATGGCTGCAGTTCCCGAGGAGGACGGTTCTGGGCTGGGACATGAGCAGCGCAGTCATTTTTCGTGCGTGCCCTCGTGCAGGAGTGAGGAGATCCTGGAGCCGGCTGGGCCCTTTGTTTTGTTTTGTTTGCTTGGGTGCCAGATGTTTGTCCCCTCCTCCGTGCTTTTGGAACAATCCATCCCTTTATTGTTTTTTTGCTTAATGATTTGCAAGAGCATAAACAGGCTGTGGCTTGGAACCCGCGCCACAATCTCCACGGAGCGGCGGAGATGGAGTCCTGAACTACTTTCGAGCATGAATAAATAAACAGCACGGAAAGGCTCCATTGTGTATATTCTAGGTTGCTATTTTCTTAACCCTGTCTCATTAAGATGGATGGAGTTTCTGCTTATTAGTAATTTGGCAAGTTCCTCTTTGTATACACTCCGCACTTCTCACTAATGATGCTTTGCTTCAGTGGTTAACAAAGGAGACTTCCAGCATCGCAGGCGAACACAGAGCCATCCGCTCCAGGGCACTCGAATGGAAGGCCAGCGAGCTGGAGGTGCAGCTTGCTGGGACAAGAACCTGCAGAGGACCTAGAAGAGGAGAACCTGCTGCTCATACATCCTTCCCTGACATTGCAGTTACTTTGACCTTGGGACTTTCGTGCCTAATTCACATGCACCAGCACAGGCCAGGCAGAGCCTGCAGCACAGGGACCCCAGGCCTTTGCACGGCTGACCCTGAAACGTGTCTGGTGGAGATGGAGCTGGCAGTGCTACTGCCATTTCTACAGGATTTACAGCTGGCCATTAAAGCATGTTTACAAGTCTTTAGTACAGTGTACACATCTGGTAAATCATTGATGGAGCAAATAGCTCCTGGTGTCATGCTCCCTCTGTCAGCTCTTCCTACTACTAGGTTACCCAGCAGAAGATCCCCTGCATGCATCCCAGAGCCCTCCTGCACACCCAGGGATGTGTGGGCACACATGCAAGCCTGCGCACACACAGGCAGCAGCACACGTGCACAGACAGGTGCCGAGCTCGGGTGTTTCGGGTCTTGCCCCTACTTGGGCAACCACCCAACTGCAAAGGCTGCTGGACAGATGCTGAACAGCACGGAGGGAACAGGGGAGAGCGGGGCTGGGAGAGGGGTTGGTTTTACTCAAGCTCGTGTCCCTTGAGGAGCCCAGCTCTAGAGCGGGACCAGTCAGGGCAAGGAAGACGTGGAAACTGCCAAGGGCAAAAATCCTCCAGCTGCGGAGCACACACAAGCCGGGACCCGCCAGCAACCACAAGGACCACGTTTCAAGGGCAAAGCCTCCCTCCTCCTGTCTGAGGCCACAGAGGTGAGCCCAGCCCAGCCACTGCCTGGGGGACTATCTGGGAGAGCCTTGGGAGTGAATGGTCCGAGGGCCCCTGGGGGTGCTGGAGCAGCGCAGAGGCAGCTGAAGGGAGAAGCTACATTCGGGGCCGTGCTGTGACAAGGCGCTGGGACCCCCGCTGCAGGCGCACGCTGTTCCCAGCCAGCTGCACAGCACACTGTAGCCTCTGCTGCCCATGCAGCTGGGCAGAGGTCAAAGGGGAAAGGGCAAAGCGTGGGAACAGAGAACGCGGAAGGTCAGCTTATTCACGCCAAAGCCCTTTCAGGAGCACTGGGACAGCGGGACAGGGGAGCAGGAGCTGCCGTGGGAGCATGTACCTGCCCCTCACACCCGCTCGCATGCCCATGCTGTAACACACAGGCAGCCAGATGACTCCAGCACCTGCCTGGCCACTCAAGCCTGCAGCATGGCCAAGGGTACCAGCCAGGCACCGCTCTGAGCACATGTTGGCCGGGGTGGGACAGGCTGATGGCATACGCCCTTTCCTGCACTGAGGCCTATTGGTCTGTTGGGTCTCTGAGTCCTGGTCTCAGCCTCCTGGGTGGTGTCTAATGGCTGCTGTACCACCGACTGTGCCATGCCCCTGGGGTAGGAGCTCTTTGCACAGGACAGCGCTTGCTTCCGCCTGCAGTAGCTTCCCCTTCCTGTCTTGGCCCATGCTGGGCTTAGCCAGACTAGGCAGCATGGCTGGGGCTGATTTCCTGGGCCACCCGGTCCCCAGGCCGTGGGGCTCTTTCAGGGGATGGGGGTGGGATGCTGCGTTTGCAGTGGGGAGGGGAGGTGACTTTCCCCTTCTACACAGACAGCTTCATAGAACGGCTTTAAGAGGGTTTCACAAACCTCCTCCCCACCCCCAGACCCCGCGCATTTCAGCCGCTTGCCAAGGGGAATTAATGAATGCAGCCAGCGGAGCTGACAGCCCCACAGCCGCTCACTGCCCTGCACAATGGAGATCCCACTTTCCCTCCTCTCCCCCGGAAACACATGCCCAAGATCCAAGGACATAAATTTCTTCTAACCTAATTCATTTTCTAGATTGATGGAGAAAATCCATAGCAAATATTTATGGCTCTGCCATAAATAACCCTTTGCTGGACTTCCAAGGAGTTCTGCGGAGTTTCAAGGTAACTTTCAGCGCGCTCCAAAGGTCAGGGCAGATGGGGATACTGCACCTACAGTGCTTGAGCCTCTGCCTCATCTGTTTTGAATTATTGGTATTACTCAGGTTAGCTGGGTTCTCAATGGAGTAGCTGTGCTGGGTTTCCAGGGCCATATTTTATTTCTATGGTGGGAGAAAGGCTTCAATAATTATTAGTTGTACTCTGTTGCAGCTAGTGAAAGAAGCCAGCCACAGTAAATTTGGGCTCAGCTCTGTGTTCGCAGGCAGAAACCAGCCTGTCGGAGCGAAGAAGGGGTTACTGCCTGCCCCGAGCCTGGCTATGGGGCACCCAGGCTGAGCCTGGGAGTAGGCAAGGAATCACTGGGGACTCTGCTCCTACAAAGGCTTTTTCTTGGTTTGCTGCTGCAGCGCGGGCTCAGACCAGGCTGACCTGGGCAGGACTGCACTGTTTTTGCCACTACCCATGGCATGAGGCACGTGCACTGCCCGGCACATGGCTCTGCTCACGTCCTGCTCCACCCTGGTGGGGTCTTTGTGGGGGGAGCCCCACTCTCCAACTCTCCATGGCACACGCTGGGCTGCGGGTCTTGCACTTTCCTGTAGGGACGAAGAGAAGCCTGCTCGGACACCTGCCCATGCTGGAGTGCAAACAGTCCAGCTCCCCATCTGCCAGGAAAACCAGGTGCCTCTGTACTCCCCAGCAGCCCCTGGCCTGCAAACCCCACCTGACACACGGGCACAACCGCTCACTGCCAGTGGCAGATCCAAGGAGCCGTGACCTAATGTGTGCCGCCCGCCGTGCAAGCTCCCCTGCCTGCTAGTAGGCACCTCTGAGAATATATGCCTTGCACACTCCCAGCCCGGGAAAAGGCAACCGCACTCCTAAGACGTGCCTGCATCAGCTCCCTCTGGCCCTGAAGCAGTTGCGGGGCATTGCTGTCGAGATGCCCAGTGCTGGGCTGCAATCTCACCCTCACTCCCAGAGACAGCAGGCGACACACAGAGGGCAAGCGTGCGAACTGGTACCGTGGGCAAGCCCGCGGGCCGGGCAGCAGAGGGGCGGGAGCGAGCACGGAGCTGGGGCCCCCCCACGGCTGTATTCTTTAGCTCTTCATCATTAGAACAGAAAGTGAAAAAATGAGACAGTGTCACCCGCTGGTCTCCGGGGAGCGGGCTCCATTCAGGCCTTTCAGAGAACAGGGTCAGACATGTCTTCTGACCTCTGCCCTATCGCGTCGCTCCTCACCATAATTATCTAATGCCGCGCTCTCCCTGCCAAGTACAATGAAACAATTTGTCACTTCAATTGTCTGTCAGTCAACAGTGAGGCCTTTTCAACAGGCCAACACATGTTTTTTGAGAGCTTGTCAGCAAGGGCTGTCTAGCCAGACACATAACCATGGAAAATGGAACCTTTGTTAATGCTGCTTCTTAGAAAAGTAAATCCATTCACTCTCTTTTTTCAGGCCTTCAGTGTGGAATTTGCACAAGAAGCTGAATTGCTCCTGATCCCTAAATGATTGGTCAGAGGATTTGCATGAGGAAGCAGAAATTAATTATTCTTTTCTTGTCTCTTTATTTCCCGTAATTGTGTGTTTAGAAATGCGATTACATTCTCCCGCCGCACGAGGGGCTGGGGGAGGTGCTTTGCATGCATTTAGTGCCTCTCGGTTAAGACCACCTAATCGTTTCAAGCATTTCCTCAGATTCTCGCCCTCGTTTTCTGCTCTAATGACTAAACAAAGATGGTGCAGCTTCCCCGGGAATGCTCCTGGCAGCAAAGCGGGGCGCAGGGAGACGGGGGTGCAGGGCCGGGGGGTGAGGGCAGTTAGTCCTCATGTGAAATGGCCCTTTCTGCTCCTCTTGGCTGGCAGAGGTAGAGGCAGAAGAGGGCTATGCCAGCCAGAGGTGTTAGATGTGTCCTAAAGCCACCGGCCTTGGAGCTGGCAAGAGCTGCTCTGGGCGCGAGGCTGCTGGGTTCAGTGGGGCAGCAGGTGCTTCCCACTCTGTCCCATACGGGTAGCTCAGTCCAGACCCTGTCCTCCCCACTCCCCTTCAATCCACATCCTGGCAGGTACGTGGGTTGTGTTGTGGCGTGGTGTGGTGTGCCATGCTGGCTGGGACCTCCGCTTGTGGGCCAGACACTCACCCACATCCCTGGGCTTTGCCAGCTTGGTGGAAGCAGGGACCCATGTTTCTCAGGCAGCGCAGGCACCCCGAGGGAGAACCACAGCACAGCAGAGCTCAGGCCTGAAAAATCTGTTTCATCCAGAAACAGATTTGCAAGACATCCAGCGTGGCCAGCTTCACTTGGGCCACCTAGGCACACGGGGTGTGAGCAGCCCCAAGGGAGAGAGAGAAGGGCACAGCTCAGTGCCACGATCACAGGGACGTGGGGAGGTGGCTGGAATTAGACCGTCACATTGAGCAAACTCTGCCTGGGACCTGAATGTTGGAGTTGGAGGGGGTGAGGGCGAGGGGCACCACTGCATGGATCCAAATGCACTCCTGCCCCACGCCTGCAGCGCTAGCAGCTCATTGGGGGAGATGGGGTGACCCTTCCATTGGCGCACCCAGGCCCAGCCTCCCAGGGGAGCCCCATGGCTGAGAAAGGAGCAACAGGAGGTTGCAGAGGTGCCCATGCTTGGGGAAACTGCTTCAGCTTCAGCCTCAGCCTCATCTTCCTGAAGGGGACAGGAGGTTAGAAAAATAACCCTCGGCCACAGCCCTGACAGCCCCTTCGAGGGGAGCGGCTGGCTGGGAAAATAGCACACAGCTTCTGTTTCAGCTCCAAGAGCAGGAATCAGCTTGACCTCCTGCCCTCCTGCCTGCACAGAGGATGCCAGGAGGCAGGATTACGGCAAGGGAATGCTTTCTCGGGCAGCACGGGGAGCAGTTCCCAGCCCTCATGCCTCTACACAAGCCCACAACGCTCGGCTAGCAGGGACATGACAGAGCGCAGCCCCTGAGCCCCCAGGGCTGCAGCTCCAGGGACCCTCATGGCAAGGGCTGGTGACCTGCAGCACGGTCCTGGGGAGGAGAGCTCCCACAGCCTCTAGGGCACAGGGCAGAGCAACGGCGCCTTCCTGGGAGCCAAAAGGCACATACTGAAGGTGACTCGGCCGTGGGAATTGCAAGGGGCGTCCAAGCAGTTGAAATCCCAGGCTGCGTGTGTGTAAAGCTGCCCCAGCTCCAGTGCTGTACTCTTCACTAGAGCCCTTGCCAAGAGGAGGAAAGCCACAATTGTTACCAGCTTCCAGCACGTTGGTTGTTCTTTCCCCCCGGGGCTCTCACCCAGAGAGGGGTGCAGACATCCTTGTGCACAGAGTTGCGGCTCCAAAGCAAGCATCCCCCTGTCTTGTTCTCCCAACTGCAGAGGATCCTGAATCCGCAGGCTGGGGGGCCTCAGGGGTCACCTGGTCCAAGCCCCTGCCCATGCACTGCTCCTAATGCGACAGTGTACCGGGGGAATTATCATTCTCAGAGCTGCCAGAGGTATAAGACATGTCACATTGCTGCTCCTAAGTCATAGCGGTCTATTTTCCATGGGTCTACAGGGCTCTTCTTGGAGGCTGATTTGAGTGACGTGGCAAATGCAACAGGTTTCCTGGGCATATCAGGGGGATAGCACACCAGAGACCAGAGTGCTCACGCAGGTGTTGGAAGAGCACCTGGGCCTGCTCCGTACTGGCAGGCACAAGGCAAAGCCATAAGCAGCCACTGCATCAAGGCAGAGGGGCTATAGGGGGAGCCACCGCCTCTGAGAGGAGAGCTGTTCTTATCAACGTGCTTGGGGCGTTCTCTACCACCCCTTCAGGAGTCTGTCCTACATGCCAGGACTGACAGCACGCTTCGGAGGAAGCGTCTTACTCCAAGACAGAAGCAGCCAAAACACTGTTCCTTGGAAACTTCCTAATAGATGAGCCGTGCATTTTGTAAGAAGCTGGCGCGAGACACTCAGCGGGTGAGCTTCGCCACGTTCACACAAGTCGACGATCCATCCCTTACAGCTGCATCGCTCGGCCCACTGTAAGCTTCCTGCTGGCCTTGTCTTTGGCACTGCAGAAGAGGACAAAGCAATTGCTGGGGTTCGTGTGCCTGGGGTTAACCAAACTGAGTACAGCAAGGCCTTCATTCCCGTCACGTTACGTGGAGTCTCATCCTTTCTGGAGGAAGCAGCTGAAACCTCCCATATTTTTGCCCAGGGCTCTGGTACCATCAGATCCCGAGTCTCTGAGGGCTGCGAAATGCCTGTTTTCTCAACTGCTTGCAAAAACCAACCTCTCTCTCTCTCTCTCTCTCTCTCTCTCTCTTTTGTGGGGGTAGAAACGAAAACATCTCCAGAACTGGCTTTCCGCAGCACCGCGCTCCAAACCTAATTCAAACCATACAGGGAGCCCTGACTTAGACTCTTTCAGGCCTATAAAATGAAACAAATTGGCTTTGCAAGCATATCTCGCCATCTAAGCTATGCCTGTAAAGTCGATTTGTCCTCCTGGATCCACGCTGCGTTAGGTGGCCTGAACGAGCCTTTGTTTTAAAGCCCTCCCTTCATCTGCCCCGTGTGCCTGCAGTTGGGCATGCTGGACTAGAGAACCCTGCATCACTCTAATGTCTGGGGCTTGCTTGGGCCCCAGTAGCTTGACTGAGGCCTACAAGGACCAAGACCAAAGCACGTGATTCCTGCTCAAGAAATAGAAAGGAACAGCCCTATGGTGTAACTGCAAGCTGGAACAGAAATGTGGTGGAGAGCAGCTGGGAACATGCGGGCATTCCCACAGTAGGATGGAGTACATGTAGCCAGCTGCCACTCCTCAAACAGCTCCTCCTAGGGACCTGGGAATATGCACAGCTCTACAGCTTCCAGTGAGGTGCATCCATAAAAAAAGAAGCCTGTTACAATAAGTTGGTGCTACTGTATTTAAATGAACCCCCCCAAAAAATACCATGTGTAGTTGTAAATGTGTCTGCCATGACAGCAGGATCCCTGTCTTGTGCTCATGTCTTTCTCTGCAGCAGATAGCCTTGCCTGGTCCTCTCTGCTTGCCACTGGGCTCTCTCTCTCTCTGTTTTTTAACAATGCTGTGCAATGTTTTTTACAGGCCCGGCCCTGCACAAGTTGGCTCCAGCAGTGCCATGGCAGTGGTTGGCCGAGGGGCTAGCCAGCAAGTGTGGTGCATACAGGGGAGTCCCAGCTCTGTCTCTTCCATGGAGTCATTTATTACCCTTCTTTATCATTCCTTATACACATGCTATATAATTTTAATGGGTGTATACCTATACAACATCTCTGAATAGAAATAAGCTGGTTAAAATTATGAACTACTTCTTCATGAAATCATAAAGCGCAGTAAGTGGATATTTTAGAAATAGACCTGCTAAGAGATTCATTTTTCCATGCATGCCCTCCCTGTTAATGCCACAAGCCCAAAGGGTTCCCAGCAGCTAAGGTCTTTGCTGCCTTTTATATTATGAAAGAGGAACAGCAAGTGCGTTAGTGCTAAGAGGAATGTCCGTTGCGTCCCACTCACCTCCAGTTCTGACTGAGTCAGGCTTTGGACTGGAGCATGGAAAACAATCTCTCTGTGAGGTCTGCATTTCAGAAGGCTTCTGTCTCCACCTCCGACGGGGAGATCCAGGCTCGGACCTCCCGATAAACGAGGCAGCATGATTCATTTCTTCTGCTCCACACTGCTTTGCTGCGGGAGCTTCCAACTGGTGTGTTCGATGCCGCTGAAGTCAGTGCAAGCCTTGCCATCGCGCCCTGACAGACAGCCGGAAAAAATTGCTCCCTGTTCAATAAAGAGGAGGAAAAAATATGTTTTTAACTCTGCTCATGATCTCATTCATCCTGAGAGATGACAGGGTATTGGACTGAGCTGTTGGCTTGTTTACATAATTATAACAATGCTATAGAGTCATCTCCTATGTAATAGCAATCACATTCCACTGAAAGAGCTTCAGAGTTTACTACAAAGGCCAACAGGATCTCAGACACCCTGAGAACATATTTTTTCTGTTTTTATAAACTCTAGTAAAATTGCAATTGGCTCAAACTTTGCATTCAAAAAGCACATTCTTGGCAAATATTTTATATGCACATAAAACATCTGAGAAAATGTGAACATTATGATCTTAACTGTTTGCACATTGCAGCCTGCTAAAAGTTAGGAAAAAGCAGTCCATCGGCTGCAGCGTTTGGTCCAGGTAATGTTCTGAGCACATTTCTCCCGGGACCTGGAGAGCGGGTGATGTATGGGCATTGCTAGGGCAGAGGCTGTTGCCTAAAACAGGCCAAGCCGTTGCC